GTGCCAGGGGCCACCTCCTGGTCTTTCATGCATATTGCCTAGGGCTAACCCCCGGGTCCTCCTATCATACATAATAGCATACCGTGTGCCAGGAGCCACCCCTGGTCTTTCATACATAGTGCCTAAAGCTAACCCCCCGGGTCTTCCTTTCATACATAATAACATACCGTGTGCTAGGAGCTACCCCTGGTCTTTCATACATAGTGCCTAGGGCTAAGTGGCTAACCCCCAGGTCTTCCTACCATAAATAAGCTAAATGGGCTGGCATTGTGGCCGTAGACCCATACACACAGTGAGGAGACTCACCTTGCACTGCTGAAGACTTGCATATAATCCTCTGACTGCAAACTGGCAATTCCCGAACTGCTAATTCTTCGGCTCCCCGAGCTATCAATACCAAATAATACTTAGTCCAAAACCAATAATCCTTCTTAGGGTAAAATGACCATTTTACCCCTGCTCTAATTTGGACCATGTCCAAGGCCCAATTCCATCTAATCTTTCTAAGTCCAATAATAGCCCACTAAAGGCCCACTAATGGCCCAATTTGCTAAATTGGGCCCAATCCCTCTAATGGGCCTTATCCTAAGCCCAAACATATTCTTGGCCCAAATTATCTGACTTTCAATGGCCCACTAAGGCCCAAAGAACTAAAGTCCAATGCATGGCCCACTCCGAGGCCCAATAATGCAAAACCCACTCTAACCGAGTACGTGGGGCGTACTCAGCTGTACGCAGGGCGTACTGGGCTAGTGACCTGTACGCTGCGCGTAGCAGCTTGTACGCCCATCGTACTCCCCTGTTAAGCCCTTTCTTCTATTAAGCACTTAATAAGGATGAGATTTAGAACCGGAAAACCGGACCGGAACCGGAATCGGACCGGAACCGGAATATATAGAACCGGTTCCCGTTCCGGGTTAAAAATTGGCTTTATCTGGGTTCCGGGTAATCCGGGTTTGGGTCCATCGGGTCCGGGTAGTCTACAGTTTATACATGAGTTTAGACTATAATTTTGTCATTTTTGGTTTAACATTCAATGATTTACAGTCCTCCAAAGTCGGGATATCAAAACTGAAAATTTTCAATTTTTCGGCTATTTGTTTTTGTACTTTGTATTATGTGAAAATGTTAACACATGCATATCTCATTCGTTTAAAGTCGGATTGACATGCGGTTTTTTCCAAAGTGTATTTTAGAGTTTGTATATGATTTTAGACTATAATTTTGTTAATTTTGGTTTCATATTCAATGAGTTAAAGTCCCCCAAAGTCGGGATATCACAATGAAATTTTTCAAAGTTCAACCCACTAACTAGTTAGTAATTACCAAAAAATTATGGTTTTTCGGGGTTTTTCGGTTCTAAACCCACTTTATCCGGTTCTAACCTACCCACTTTGATGTTTCCGGGTTTTCCGGTTCTAGACCCACTTTACCTGGAAACGAACCAGAACCGGTTCCTATATACCGGTCCGATTTCCGGTTCTACAAAATCCCGTTAACCGGTTCCGGGTTTTCCGGGTTCGGGTCCATCCGGTCCGGGTTTGGACCCACTTTCATCCCTAGAACTTAATGTTTCTATCGAATGGTCCAAATCATAGATCTAAGTTCCTCTTAACGTCTGAATCCATAAAGTCACTGACTTGGTGACTTTGCATGCCCCAAACAAGCCCAAACTCCAAACATGGTATTCTACTTCCATGAAAATGGTCTTAACTCTTGCATGAGCCCATTAAGACCACCAAGATGACAACGTTTTGTCTTAGGGAGACATTTAGCACCAAGGGTGGCAACCCTTAGTCTAGGAATCAGATTTGGACCATAAAGCTTCATCCTTGGGACCAAAAAGGTCCCCGGTTACCGGGTTGAAAGATACCGAAGGGGAGGTCAGCTCCCGGTTACCGGTTGGAAGATACCGAAGGGGAGGTCAGCTCCCGGTTACCAGTTGGAAGATACCGAAGGGGAGGTCAGCTCCCGGCTACCGGTTGAAAGATACCGAAGGGAAGTCCAACTTCTGATTATGCCAGTCAGATACCGGTTGAAAAGATACCGAGGGATAGACAGTATATGTTTATGGTATGTGGTATGATGGGGGAACTCACTAAGCTTCGTGCTTACAGTTTACAGTTTTGTTTTCATATACCTCTTCATCGAAGGGTAAGGAGCCGGCACGGTAGCAGAGCATCGCACACACACCCGATTTCCGCACTATGACGTCCTTGGGATTGTACTCTGACATTATTATTATTTCATGACATGTTTGTATGACATTTGACTTATGGGTTATCAGTTTGATATGATATTGATGTTGTTTTTCAGTAAATTGTTTTATAAATTACTTAATTAAAATTGGGATGTTACAAAGTTGGCCGAGATCTACGTACGAGAGGTGGTGGCACGGCATGGGGTGCCAACATTGATAGTGTCAGATCGGGATGTGAGTTTTACTTCCAGGTTCTGGAAGAAATTTCATGAGGAATTGGGCACCCGGTTGCATTTCAGC